CACACACACACACAGACTGATGAATTGACAGACAGGAAGACGCTGTCTGACTGATAGGTGCACTGTGCATAATGTGTACAGAAATAGACACTATAGATGATATCACAGTCTCATTAGAGCTCCACCTACTCTGACTCAGTCTTTTGGTGGTTACATACTGTAAAGTAAGCCCTGTTGTTGTCTGGGTAAGTCATCGGGGGTTAAACGATTCTTACAGTATGGACAGGACTAAAAATAGACGGCCGGGATGTGACCAGGAGCTCAGAAGAAAGGCTCGAGAAGCTGTGCGCTCCCATTCATAAATAAAAAAACAGTGGGAAGTTGCCTTCTTGTTTCTGAGTATAGTGATGATGTTATAACATGGAGCTATCTGCCAAAATCACATCTCTACCTCCCTCCCTCCCATCCCTAACTTCAGGACAAAATGGCTTTCTTTAAAACACATTAGAGTCTGTGTTACCTCACACCCAAATCTCAAAGCTCTTGTCAGCTTCCTCCTCCAGTCTGGTGTATTTTAAAAGCATCACGTCATCCAGGGGTAAAGAGGCCAGGCCTGAGGTGTCCGAGTTTCCTGTGTGTCTGTGTGTGTGTGTGTACGACTGTGTGTGTGTGTGTGTTTTGTGGTGTTTTCTAGCTGTGCAGGAAACCACGCCTCTGTGCTTCTAGGGCTGGCTTTGGGGCTGGTGTGAGCAGTGGTGGCGGGGAAATGAAAGAGGAGGCGTAATGATGGAGGCAGAGAGAGAGAGTCAGACAATCCTGGTAGTGTTCAGGTTGCTGCTCCCTCTCAAAACACTTGCCTTTTTTCAATAAGCAAAAATAGAGCTGCGTGTTGCTTTGGAGCATTTTATCACTTAATTTTTTAGAGAGCACAGAAGCACAACTTGATTGATTCATGAAAAACTAATGATGGATGACACTCGTGCACGTCTGTCTCCCTCTGTGTTTGCATTAATAATCTCTGATGTATGAGTGTGTGGTGACTCCTGCTGTGTTTGTAATGGTACCTGATGGGTTTGCACAAATCTGCGTGGGTATACATTGATCTCGTGAATGCATGTTTTGATCGAGGTATGTGTTTCTCTCTCCTCTCACAGTATTCAGCTCTCTAGACATGTCACGGTCGGTGTCGGTGACAGCGGCGGGCCAGTGTCGCCTGGCCCCCCTCATACAAGTCATCCTGGACAGCAGCCACCTGTATGACTACACCGTCAAGCTGCTGTTTAAGCTGCATTCCTGTGAGTGACGCACACATCTTGTTGGTCAAACTACAGGGCCAGTAGAAATAGTATGGTGTAGCTATGGTTGCTTTTTTTGAGTATTTCTGTAGTGCAGTTTCATGTGAATTAGAGTTTAAACCTTATTTGGCTGCAAGAACTTCAACAGAAAGTGTTATTGGTCAGCAAAGTTAATCAGATGAATCATTTGGTCAGTATTTTTTATCCCAAATCTCTCTTAGATTTTGTGTAAGGTTTGCTCATACAGTTGTTCCAGGTTGGATTCACCAAACTTAAATCACTTGTTTCAACCTGATAGGTGCCACTTATTCATGAGGGAGGAGCACGTTCATGTGATTTGTGACAAAAATATAGTCATAAGAGAGTAAAAAGCTGAATATCAGAAATCAGCAGAAGAAAACATACATTGTGTCCGTAGGCTGCAACTGGCAATTAATGTCATTATCAATTAATGTGACGATTATATAGACTTCAAAAAGTGGTGAAAAACGTTGATCACAGATCAAGTGATTTTCTTAAATAGCTTGTTTTATTTGAACAGTCACAACCAAACAATATTTAATTTGCTATCATATATGATCAAAACAAGAAATCCTCACAACTGAAAAAAAAGGCAGACTGTCTGAACATGACTCAAACGACAGGTCTGGACCACTCGTCAATTTCATTTGAAGAAAGGAGGTTGGTGAGTGCCACAGATTCGTACTCACCGCTTAGAAACATGTCTGTTCGTATGAGTTCTTGCAGGAGATCCACTTCCTCTTGAGCAGTATCAGATTTACCTGTTGAGCGCCTAGCTTTACTTTATGGTCTTAAACGTGCTGCGGTAAATACTGTATGTGTGAATACTTATAATGGGTGACCCTTTCCTCCAAAGAGTCAGAGACGACATCTTCTCTTAGTTAAATAATTCTTCAGACCCTTTGGGCTCTTGAAATCC